GATTAATTTGCAAAATTAATTTTTTTGGTGATATAACATACCTGGCCATAGCGTGATAGTCGTACGCCTGGTCGGCCACATCTCCATCAGCCTGTATGGCACAGGACAGGGATAGTCGGGGCGTTTCCTTATCAAATGCTGCGCGTAATTCCTGGATAATAATTAAACATTATATAAAAAGTTGTTAATTTGTTTAATTTATTGATTGTATAATAATTAAAATTTTAATAAAATATTAGTAGTTATAAACTGTAATTTATCATCTAAATAGTTATTTATTTATTTATTAAACAAAGCTCAATATATTTAAATTGGAGTATTTGTGTGCATTGTAATTTTTAAGTTTCCTTTGTATTTTATACAACTAACCAGGTTTAAAAAGATAGCTTATAATTAAAATAAAGTTTAGCATGATTTAGCAGTAATAAATGTAATGTTATAAACTTAACTTGATAATATTATAATTTGTTTTATTTACTAATGACTTTATGATATTAAAAAAAACAATAAATTTATTAGTTGTTAAAAACTGTAAACTCTTACTATAATAATTGTTTATACATAAAAAAAATAATAAACGTTACAATGTTGGACACATCCCAGATGTTTAATTATAATTTTATCTCAATTCATAATAAATTGAGATTTTTTAAACAACAAATTACCTATTTATTAATGTACCTATATGAATATTAGTATTCATATACTAGGATTCATTTACTAATGATTTTAAAATATGATATTTTTAAAAACATTAAATTTATTAGTTGTTCAAAACTGTAAACTCTTACTATTGTAATTATTTATATATAAAACAACTAATAAACTTTACAATGTTGGACAAAAATTTGATGATTAATTGTAATTTTATCCTAACTTATAATGAATTCAAATATTTTAAAACAATAAATTACCTATTTATTAATGTACCTATATAAATATTTATATAGTAACTATCAAGTTTGTTTGTAAAAATTAAATAAATGTAATTTTCAATCTACAAATAATTATTACTAATTAATATAATAAATTGTAAAATAATATTGTGAGAAATAAATTATTATTCTTAATAATTAATGCAACTATTTTATTGTTCTTATAAAATCTAAAAGTAAAATAATATGTTACAACAAAACATACCGTTAGCAATTTGCCAAAATTAGGCTTGTCCGACTTGGGACCCTTATTACAGTCACCGCTCCAACAGACCGGGTACTCCCAGTCGATGTCTAGTCCGTCCCACTTATACTTATGAATATAAGCGATAGTGTTTTTAATGAACTGAGCCCTACGGCCCGCGTCATTAACGAGTCTAGAGTAGGGGGCGTCGGGTTGTCCGCCGCCGCCCAACGACGGTATAATCTTCAGCTCCGGGTTCTTCTTCTTGAGCTCCTGTAAGCGACGGTAAATGTCGGGCTGCGGGCCGTCACTGTCTTTTAACACGTTGTTTTGCTCGTCCATCACGTGAAACGCGTAGTGAAGGTGAGTACAAAGGGTTGGGTCAATGTTTTCCGGGGTATGCTTATTGTCGCCCGATTCATACAGACGCCAATTGGGCCAATAGCAGATCACCTTAGGCTTGGCCGCGGCCAGTAATGCCTGTCCGCATACGAGTGCGGTTAGCAATAGTAATTTCATTGTATTAATTTTTATATTTTTTGTCTAACTTTTGTTTTGCTAAAAATTAGTGATTGTAATGTTTGAGCACTTGTTTTTATATGCACTCTATTTATTGGCTAATCTTATCATAATCACTAATTCTGTTAATTGTATAAATATAATTCATACAATAATTTGCAAGTTTAATTAAAATCTATTATTAATAATAGTGCAAATTATTATTTATTTATTTTGTTTGTTTATAGTATTTCTATTTATAACAATTACTAAAAATTATTTACATAATTTAATTTAATAATCATTTAAATTATACTTTGCACATTTAAAAACTGCTTTATATATACATTTCACAATAATTCAATAGATAAACCCACTTTAATATGACATTTAGTTATATCAATTTTTAAAAGCACTTGTATCAATATCAATTTGGCACATAATAAAATATCTAATTAACAAAATGGAAATGCGACCTTGTTTGTTTGCGCAAAACAAAACATAAGGTAAAATACATAGATTATTTGTATTTGTATATAAAACAATCCTTTAATTAGCTGTTGAATAGGATATAAAAGCACGGTTTACGTAACAAATAAACATTTATCTTATTGTAACAGACAAACTAAAAGAACCTTGATAGGTTTTCCTTTTATTTTAATTGTAATATAAAATACTATAGTAAAGTAAAGATATATTTATATCTTTATAATAAGATATATTTGTTTAAAAACAAACTGAATAATATTTTAATAAATTTTGAAGAAATTATTGTTAATATAAAATTAAACTATTTATTAAATACTTTATTAAGTTGATGAACATATATTTAAAATGTGCGTCATCTTGATCATAATCTCTATATTAGCATTTTACATAAAAAGTAATTCTATTGTAATTTTTATTCTGTTATAAATCTTGATAATACTTATATTCGCAGCCATAAGTCTCGGGTTTCTCTCCTGTACCGTATAAGCCATTATTAATGGCCCGTAGCATAGGGTATGTCACTGAGCAACAATTGGGTTGAAAATCGTCCATGGTCATTTCCCAAACAATTATCCCACCAAAGCCATTATCTTTTACCCATTTACTTTTACTAATTAAGTAAAAATAAATAAATTAAATTTACAATATGAAAATTGTAAATTTTAATTAACAAGGCGCCGGTCATTTGCCATTTATTTTTAAAAAACAATTTAACTTAAACATTATATAATAAAGTAAAAATTTGTTTACAGTATCATTTTAACTTTTCCAATAATTGTAAATTAGTATAAAATTGATTTTTATTCTTAGTATTTTAAGTAAAACATATTAAATCTTGGTTCATATTTATTTCTAAGATTCAATAAACTATTGTAGATATTAATTTGTAAACATACAAATAAATACTTCTAATTGATAAAATTTAAAACAAACTGTAATTTGTTTTAAAAGTTAATATAAATATAATTAGCTATTACATCATGTTAAAGTTGTGGTCCCGCACGGCCCCATGAGTATATAATTAATTTTTTTAATTTGCACATTATAATTTATAAAAATCACTTACTTATAAACTTGGTATGGGTCGTCATAACCAACCCATAAATTATCGTGATACGCAAAGGGGTCGTGACCCTGGTCGTTTGTCTCCTTAAGCCAACTCTTATTCTTAACCAAATCACACATTTCCCTATAATAGGCGGCGCCGTTGTGTCCGTCCGGTGTGTTGCCGGCGCCCGTAATGGGAGCTCCCATAGAGTGTTGACTCGAGTTTTTCAATGCAAACACTTTGCCATAAAAGGGCACTCCTATTAACACCTTGTTATTGGGGACACCTTTTGTTACATACGATTGACTATAATCTATGCACTTTTGATACGGCGAGTGATGGCCAGTCTTGCGATTCCAGGGGCCATACAATACGTATGTCATCACGTTTATGTAGTCCAGTGATCTATCATTATTAAATTAAAATAAAACTATTGGCAGTGTACTTTAAATGCCGTTAAAGTTACAAATTTAGTTTTACATATGTTTTTTAATTACACATGTTTGGATATTTACAGTTTTTATCAAAATTAATAATTTTTAAATCGTGATAATTGACTACATGACTACTGTATTTTCTAAATGTAATAAACATTGCAATACAATGATTGTATGCACTCACTCGGCCAGAGCAGAAAAGTCATAGGCCTGTTCGTAGGGACCGCCGGGTTTACCAGCCTTTACGGCGGCTGATAGTGACAGCCGTGGACTCTGCTTATCGAAGGCAGCCTTTAATTCCTATATAAATGTTTATAAAAATTTTAATAAATTTAAATAACGAGAGAGAGAGAGAGAGAGAGAGAGAGAGAGAGACTCACCCTAAGTAGTTTACCAAAGTTAGCCCTATCAGATTGCGGACCCGCTGTACAATTACCGGCCCAACACACCGGATACTCCCAGTCGAGGTCCAGGCCATCAAAACCATATTGTTTTAAATATGCAATTGTATTATTGATAAACTCCGCCCTTAAACTGGAATTATTAACTAGATTAGAAAATGGTTCGGAGGGGGCTTTTGCACCGCCGACCGATACAATCACTTTGAGCTCAGGATTGCGAGTCTTGAGTGCGTTTAGGCGCCGGTATATATCGGGTCGGGCGCCCACTCTGTCGACAATCACGTTATTATTGGTGTCCAATATATGAAACGCGTAGTGAATGTGTGTACAAAGTGTTGGGTCAATGGTTTCAATTGGGTTCACTTTTAGTCGATAGTTGGGATAATAACAGACAACTCGAGGCTTACTTACGGACAGTGCCAACTGTGCGCACACCAGAGCAACGTATAATAAAACTGTCATGATATTTTTAATTTAAAACTGATAAGTTTGAAACATTTATTTATTAACAGTTAAGCAAACACCCTCTATAATTATTTCACGTAATGATTGCCGTTTTGTTAAAGTGTGGCAAAACTTTTGCAATTAATAAAATTACTTAAATGTTAAAATTCTAATTGAAATAAATTAATATGAATACAGATTTAATTATGTCACATATGTTTAAATTTACACATAAAGATAATTTAATATCAAGATAATTTTATTATCAATTATTTTATGATATTTCAATTTAATAAAAATTATTATTATGCCAATATTTAATTTTTAAATAATACAGATATATTAATGTATAAACATTTTTGTATTTTATTTACTTAATCTGTTTTATATAAAACATTTAAATATTTTGATTTAACCATCCATTATATTTGTATCTTAATTTATTTATTACATAATTTGCAACAATTATCTCTTACCTAAAGTACGCATATATTGGCTTAATTTTTATAAACAATAAATTTTATCATTAAATTAAATGTAAATTATTTCAATCATAATGGGATAAATATAAAATGAGCGACGTGTTAGCAACCAAAGTAATTATACTAAAAATAAATTAAATGCACTACAAGTAATAAAATATGTTACGTTACAGTTTGTGAATCACATAGATTTGCAGTACTGGTGATTAGCCCAAGCACTGTATGAAACACCGTAGTAGTTTTTCAATGCTATACGGCGTATATACGCGATCACAAAAATGGTCACATCTCGGTCGTTTCTGACTATCAGCTGAGATTTTTGAGTTTAATTTCATACAAGTGCAACACATAGTCAGATTTGAATTGTAATTTATAAATGATAAATGCACTTATAACAATGAATTTAACAATATAATGTTTATTTACCAAGTAAATCAAACAAATTATAAATAATATTCTAATAAATTTTAAAGAATTTATTGTTAATATAACTTTACAATAAAACTAATTATTAAATACTTTATTAAATTGATGAATATATACTTAAAATGAACGTCATCGTGATCATAATCTCTATATAAACATTTTAGATAAAAAATAATTCTATTGTAATTTTTATTCTGTTAGAAATCTTGATAATACTTATACTTGTATTCGTAGCCATAAGTCTCGGGTCCCTCTCCGGTACCGAAAAAGCCATTATTGATGGCCCGCAGCATAGGGTACGCCACTGCACAGCAATTGTGTTAAAAATCGTCCATGGTAATTTCCCAAACAATTATTCCACAAAAGACATTATCTTTAACCCTTTTACTTTTACTAATTAATTAAAAATAAATTAGTTAAATTTACGATATGAAAATTTAAAATTTTAATTAACAAGGCGCCGATCATTTGCCATTTATTTTAAAAACAATTTAACTTAAATATAATATAATAAAGTAAAAATTTGTTTACAGTTTCATTCAAACTTCTTTAATAATTGTAAATTAGTATAAAATTTATTTTCATTCTTGATATTTTAATTAAAACTCATTAAATCGTGATTGATATTTATTTCTAAGAGTTAATAAACAATTATAAATATTAATTTGTAAACATCAAAATAAAAATTTATAATTTTAAAAATAAAATTTTAGAGCATTATACAGCACCTCACTGCAGCCCCTGCACCCCTAAATATCGGTCAGTATTAACATTACCCGACTGCACCACCATGACTGCAGTATTTTATTATTGCTTAAAAACTTGTCCAGAATTTGTCCAGGAATATTATCAGAATTTTAATGAAAATTCAGAATTTAGCAAAACCCATCTGGTCAGTTTATTCACTTATATTGAGAGGGTAGTTATGATTAGTTTAATAGTAATATTTATAGTGTATCATCATTTATTAAAAATAAAATTTCTGCCGATTCCTATTCTAAACATTTATTAGTAAAATTTATAAGTGTATTAAATTAGTTAAACTGGACTTTTAAAAATCAAACTATTTATGTTCGCAACCGTATGTGGAGATTCCTTTTCCAGTGTTAAACATTGCATTGTTAATCGCACGGAGCAGTGGAAATCTGACCGTGCAACAAAAATGCCGATCATCCTGACCAACTTCCCACACCAATACACCGCCGTTACCTTGATCTTTTACCCATTTGGCCTTTCTACATTTGGAAAATTAAGCATTTAAATAAATAGATTAACACTAAACAAATAGAAAGGAATAAATATAACCTTGTTAAAATAACATTTAAAAGCACACTCACGTATAAACTTGCCATGGGTCATCGTAACCAACCCATATATTACCATTATAAGCGAAAGGATCATTATCATATTTATTTCTCTCTTTAGTCCAGCCCTTATTTTTAACTAATTCGCATACTTCAGTGTAACTGGCCATACCATCCGCCCCTTGCGGTGTATTGCCAACACCAGTAATGGGTGCGCCCACAGTGTGCTGTGTCGGGTCTTGTAGGGTAAACCCGAATCCACAAAAGGGCACAAATATCACGACCTTTGCTTTGGGTATACCTCCGTCTATATAAGGTTTGGGCCATTGGAGGAACTTTGCGAACTCAGACGAATGGTCGGTGTGAAGGTCTGTCCATGTTGTTACACCTATGCCATTACGACCACGTAATCCACTGCTCTATCATCGTTGACATATTCATAGCAAAATGATTATATAATTTTAATCAGCAAAATTATTCTTACAAGTTAGCTATTGAAAATAATGTTAAAACTCATGGACAACTTATTGAAAAACATAGGTTTTTGAAATTTTTATATTAAATCCTATCAAATACTATGAATAATTTTTAATATTATTATCTAATAGGATTACCATTATCTTAATGCACTCAAATATGTTGTTATCAAATATAGAGAGCGGTGGCTTGCATTATATGTAATGTTATGTAAATAAATGTAATAGCATTTGTTACTAATGTTTGAAAATTTACTACAAATAATGTCTAGATAAAAACTTTTTAATGAAAGATGTTCAGTACTGGACATAACGTTTAACATGATAATGTTAAGTCTATACGCATGCTAATCTACACTGCATATCACATAGGTTTAACATGGATTATGTTAATTCTGTAGACAATGCTATAACTTATAACTTATAGCCTATAAGACTAATTTTAAATCTGAAGATAGCGCTAATCTATTGTTTATTAATACCCAAATTATGGCTAATGTATGGCATCGCTGTGTGACATTTGTTTTTACCTATAGTAGTTATGTAAACTTTTAACTATTTGTGCACTTACTTAGCCATTGCTGGAATATCGTAGGCTTTATCCCAAGGAATGCCTGACCTAGCACCATCTAAATGTACCGACAGCAATAGTCGCGGTTTTTGCTGATTAAATGCATGTCTAAATTCCTATTAGATTACTAATAAATTAGTGAGAGAGAGAGAGAGAGAGAGACTAAAGAGAGAAATAAAAATGGTAATGATCCCTTTGCTTATAATGGAAGTATATTGGTTGGCTATGATGACCCATGGCAAATGTA